TAACCAGGCCTATAACTAACCGACCGCCGTGTCCGTCCTCTCAGGCCAGTCACTAATTTTCTGGGGAAGTTATTTTTAGTGGCTGCCACCGCCCACCTAGCTAATAAGCCTAGGCTTCCAGTTGCTAATCTCGGCCCCATTGTTGCCCCTAGGCCTACCAATTAGCCGTCACAGTCTTGCCCCGAGCCAGGGACTAATCAGACCTCTTAGGCCCGCCAGCCCCCATTCTATTGGCTTAGGGTGCCAAGAGAATGAGAGCTGCAAGCCTCAGAGGCCCCAGAGTGTTCTGTCCACCGCTAGTGCTTGCTAGCTACATGATCAGGTGGTTTTCAAAATCATTCTCTGTGGAGGGTGATGGTAGCAGCATTTTTAGGCTGCGCTAGGCCTTGATCCTATTGATTATAGGGGCTTGCTTAACTAGTGGCTTGGCATGCATTAGTGCATGCCCTCTGCTAGTTAGGCTTGGCTCACTTTTCACGGGGGCCTTCGTGGGTAAAAGGTGGAATTTGCCAGCGCCGGGATTCGAACCCGGGCACTGCCCCGAGCCAGGGACTAACCAGACCTCTTAGGCCCGCCGGCCCCTATTCTATTGACTTAGGGTGTCAAGAGAATGAGAGCTGCAAGCCTAAGAGGCCCCAGGATGCCCTGCCCACCGCTAGTGCTTGCTAGCTACATGGTCGGGTGATTTTCAAAATCATTCCCTGTGGGGGGTGATGGTAGCGGCATTTTTAGGCTGCGCTAGGCCTCGACCCTATTGATTATAGGGGCTTGCTTAACTAGTGGCTTGGCATGCATTAGTGCATGCCCCCTGCTAGTTAGGCTTGGCTCACTTCTCACGGGGGCCTTCGTGGGTAAAAGGTGGAATTTGCCAGCGCCGGGATTCGAACCCGGGCACCCCTACAGTGCGCCAGAACGTAGATTTACCCGCTACGCCACTGCCGGCTTTATTTCAACATGCACTGCTACTTAAGATATTGAATTTTTCATTCTCTGAATGTGTTTAAATAATCTCATTCTGATATATTATTTCATACTTGCTCTGCATGCTGTTCTCAGACATGTTAAGCATGTTCAGTTCAATCAATCTATTTATCATTGAGTGATATAATCACTTCTGTGCTTAATTCTCAGTCAGTTAAGCTATCACACTGTAATATATACTGTGAAGACTGTCTATCTCATCTATTCTACAGTATCAATTGTGTGTTTAAGAACTGTAATAACTGTCAGACTCTTAATTATGAACATACTCATGATATTAAATATCATTATTTAACAGC